GAGAAAGAATAAACTAGTTTTAATTAAGAAAGGACTTGTATCGCTGAAGTTCCTCGGGAAAAACAATTATCCTGGAAATTAACAAACGAGCAGATACGTAACTGGTATAACCATAAACGTAACAAACTTGATTTATGTTTTGCAACAAAACATTGAATTATTTACATCCTTAATTTTGATTCACTAGAACTGAAATAATTTATTATTTCAAACGTTTCACTAGATTTCATAACGTATCTTAAATGAAGCGCTCTCTGGAGGTGTTGCTTCAAAACATTATTAAATTTAAAAGCAATTGCTCTAGAGTTAGAACTCTGCATTGGCTAAGCGGTAAGTCCAATTTTTTATATGCTAAAAACTGGGTTTTAAAATCGTAATGACAAGCTCTATTAAGCTTAATGGAAAGAAAAATTTAACGCATATTTTTTTTCTCAGTTTCAAGAAATAAAAGGTGCTAATCATATAGAAAAAAATGGTGATATTTAAGGAAACTTTGTTAGTTCTTCCGACGAAAAAATATGTTTAACTTTAAAGAACATTATACAGAGGTGTAATCAGGAAATACTATTGATAATGATATACAAAAATGGCAAAAAGTGACTAGATATTGGACAAGAACTTACAATTGAAGAAGCTTTTATGCTTTAAAGAGTTTGTCACTAAACAACTTAACATGTCATCAGGACCTGATCATAGTATTTTGTTGAAATTATCTAAGCAGAAGTAATCCATTGGTAATTATGAAAAGACTGAAACTATCAGTAATTTAACTCCTCAATGGTTTAAATGTATTTCAGTAGTCCCAGTTTTCACATTTTTAGTGTATTTTTATACATGAGGTGTATATAGGCCATAAAGTAAAAACCTATCCCCGAGTCATTTCCCGTTGAAATTGCATCATACTGTTAGTAAAGGTTTTGTTGTTGTTTTACTACTGGTATTGTATTAAAGTCACTTTATTTCATATTGTGTCACATTTAAATTTAATATAAAGGTGTGAAAAAGATAAAGCTTATACTTTGATAGGAAAGTTATCAAGATAATGTGAATTTTGAGAATGTTATTTATTTAATTTTGTAAGATTTATGAAGGATGTGACTTCTATTTCTTAACATATTTCTCTGTAGTCTAACTGAAAACTTTTTTACAGAATATAAAAGTGATGCTTCTATGTAATCATGGAAGTTTTAAAGATGAAGGTTGAACCCTTTCCTGATGAGAAGCAGGATGATTTGTTGGATATCAAATTGAAAAAGGAAGATGAAACTTTCATAATAACTAGTAGTAAGTCTGTATATTTAGTATTGTTATGTTTTGTGTTCTTCCCAACATAATAGTATGAATTTTACCTGTTTTAATTTATCAGTGTGACTGAATTTTCCATCATTAATTGAAATTTTCTTATCAGGATTTTATATCAGTAAGTAAAATTTGGCAGCATTCTCTTGGTTATTTTGGTCTTTGATGTCAGAAACCTGGATTCAGTGACAGTTATGTAATCTTATTCTGTACCATCACCTGTGAATTAGGTTAAACCTGGGTACCTATATCATACTTCAAATACCAGCCTTCCATGTAGCTTATTCAGTGATAAACATATTTAGATCAAATAATGAAATTAGAAGGGATCTGTTATATATTTCACTGTGGTATGAAGTAATAGTCAGAAACGAATTTATTTTAATCAAATTGGATGAACAAGGATTTTATCAATGCTTTGTTGGTCCTGATTGAACGATATATATGGATTGAATATGAGTGTACCTGGATGTCATTGATGCTTTGTTGGCCCTCATTAAACAACATATTTTTACTAACTATGAGTATATTAGTGAATTGTCTGTTTGTGTTTATGATTGTTCTTCAAGTTTGGTTCATGAATGTTGAGTCACTTTTGGTTCTCTTATTATTATTTCCACTTCAAGTCAGTGCTAATGTACTGGAACATTGCCTATATTCACCTGGTAAATAAGCCCAGTTGTTTCCAAAGTTCTTTTTGTCTTCCGTTTCCAAGGGACAGGAATTATAAAATGACCATTTTTTCACAACACTTCCAACTTTTCAGTTTATCACTCAGGTGTTTGTTAATACAGATATTGAACATATTTATGTAATACAAGAGGTTGTGGTTTTATAATGTGAATTAATTTCCATGTGAATATTAGATAACTTCACTTAATAAAAGCAGGTTTGAACAGAAGATTTATAGTGTTATTATAATTGAAAACTGAGTTTTAAACTTATATTAGAAATTAAGGAGACTGGATCCATTTGTTAAAGAAATTAAACAGTCTTTATTTACAAAGGAAAGTAGAAAGAAATATGTTTATACTTGTGTAAACCTTCACACAATCACTTCTGTTAAGTCAGAATATAGTTCTTCAGCTTTCCATCTCTTAGGACTGACTTCTGTAGAACTGTATTGAAACATAAACTGGATTTAACTACGAAAGGATGGGTGCTTCAATCATGCAAGAAAACTTGTATCCTTTCTCTCGTGATGGCTTCATGATATTACTGGTTGTTCTCTCACAGGATTTGTTGACTGTGATATAATGATGACAAAGACAGGGTGGGCAAGTTTTGAGCCCATGGGAATTGAACCTGAGAGATTCAAATCATGAAAATCACTCTTCCCTGTTGTTATAAATGTTTTCCGTAATATCAGAACTAGTCTTGTCTATTTTGTTGTTATAAATGTTTTCCACAGGATCAAGACTAGTCTTCAGAATGTACTTTACTAGTTATCTGTGTTGAGTTTTACAGTATTATCATGCTGCTGTTGAAAATGAGTTCAGCATTATGCAATGAAAATTTTAACTTTCTGCTTAAATTAACAATTGCCAAATCTCAATTTTTATAATATTTCATATAATTTCTTCAAGCCATGTTGAATCACTGACAATTAAGATCTCTGGTTAAGAGATCACCTTCAGGCTCACCTACAAAAGTCGTAATGTTTTCAAATGAGACCCAAGAATTAAGATCTCTTACACTGCTTGAAAAACAAAGTCTGCATATTCTCTTGTAACATGAGACTGCTTAAGATGGTCTATCTACATAAGAACAATTTACTTTTACAATTGTCATAGACATTATTCTGTCTTTTGTGTTGGTACTCTATTATTGATGATGCCCTCTGGAGGTGAAGAGGGAATATCGACTGGTTTCTCACCTGGTCATGCACACCATTTTGAGATGTTACAGACATGACAACTGACCTTCAGTGGATGTCTCAGAGTTCTAGTCAGAATGAGAGTACACTATACTACTTAATTTTCACATTATTTTACTTCCTTAGTCAGTGTTCCCATTGCAATGTCCTTGACACCTTTTAATTCTTCCTGGGTACCTGCTGACATTGTTTTGTCAGTTTTGGATGATGGGTATTTTAACATTGTGTGGAGTTTGATTGTGACTTGATTAAGAGTAAACTGTATTGAATCTTGTTATAGACAAACCTACATTATTCGTACTTGTAGTTCCAGGAAAAGCTGAGTCCTTGGAAGAAAGTTCTCTACATACAATTTTGAAGTTTGATGTAACAAAAGAGGAGCAAGAAGAAAAGTGTGATGGAGAATCAGAGAAAAATGAGGTAATTAAACTTTTAACAGTTGTGTTATTAAAGATAATATGTAGCTGTTATTGTGCCTTTCTGGACTTTGTTTGTTTGGTATATAATTAGTAATGACATGTTTATAGTCTCAAACTGAAAAAATTCACTACAAGTTTGCTGAATTGTTTTGAATAAAATTATTCCAAGACATACTTATCTCCGCTGACAGTAATAGCTACTTCTTAATTTTCAATCATTGCCATTTAATGTTGTGTTCCCTTGCTCCAGTCTTTATTTACCTCATTCGACTGCTCTTGGCATTATCTAATTTGCAAAACTTTATGCCGGCCCTCAAACACTCTCTATGCAGGTATTGTATATAAGCACTGTATGCAGACAATAAAATCACTTTTACTCCACAAAGCAAGAGCATTCAGACTAATGTTTTGTGAGTTACATTTTCTTAGTATTTGCTTTCTAGTAATCAGGAATTCTTTGTTTTGTCATTCAGAGATATATTTCATTGAATTTGTTTTTTTTCCTACAAATGTATTAAAAAAATTGGATATGAATTCCTGTGTAACAGTTTCAAGCACAGAGGTTACTCAGCTTTTGTCTATTCCCCTTTTGTTATCTAGTAGTGGTCAGCAGTTGGGTGGGGGGGTCTCTCTGAGAGGTGCCGATTTGATGTTTCATTCTGAAATGGGATAGTCTGGGTAGAATTTAGACTCCATGTTTCTTGCTTCTTTCACTAGAGCTTCCTCTCCTGAGGACTCATCTGATCAGCCTCCTTCTGCCCCATTTTTCTGCAATCAGTTACACGTGTTTGTGAAGTTTTGGAGATGCAACCAGTTGCTTTTGAGTCTACCCTGCTTTGTTTTCTAATCATTATCAAGCGGATTACTTAGTTTTTCCTCCTTCTCCCGAAATTGCTGTGCACGCAGTGAGGTTTGCACAACAATTACGTGAGGGTGTCGCTATGCCTTCCCCCTCGTTTATCTGGCGTATCATCGTCAGAATGACACTCAAAGGTTAGATCTGTTGTTAGATCTATGGGGTGCCAGGTACGAACCTGTTATCTCTATTAACAGGTCGGAATTATTGTGGATTCGTTTGACTCTTACTACTTCTATACTCTTCAACTTTTGTCTGAAGCATATCATTGATCGCCTCAACAATTTGATGACAAACTGGGCCATTTACTGGTCACTATTATAACACATTCATCCTCTTCAGGATTTGCCTTGGTGTCGTGGTTGGTCTGTTGTTGGGACTTATTGAGTCATGATGTATTTTGGAAGGTATTCACTTACCTTCTTCTGCCCTTCGAGATTTACGGGAAGCGCCTTTCCTTTGGCCTTATTTATTTGCTGGAATTCCAAAATTTTTATAAGCTGGAGTTGATACAGCACATTTGCAGTATTCTTTATAGTCTTTGGCTGCTCAACCTTATTCTACTTCCACTTGTACTTCTGCATGTTCATCTCCTCGTGTCTCAAGGCCCACTCATTCCACTCCTCATTCCATTCATTCTCTTGATTGTTTCCTTCCTTCTTCTTGGGAGATATTTTGCAGGCCAGGAAGTGGACTTCTCCCGACATGTTCATATCTCATTACCTTCATGATTTAGCAGTTTTCTCTGCGAAGGGACTTTATCTTACCCCTGTGGCTGTGTTGATTTTAACAGGGTGGTGAGTAAAGTGTTATCTGACTTATAGTTATTGTTCCTTTCTCTTCTAAGGTTCGTATTGATTATTTTGGATCCAACTCAGTGGTGAATGTTGCCTAGTCGGGTATGCTTTTATTTACATTCTGCACTAGCAACCTTTATATCATTTCCTGGTTGCAATGGTCTCTGTTGAGATGAGGTATTCCATAAGACCTTCTGGACGAAATTCTGGATGTTGATATCATATTACAATATTTCTAATGGACCGCTACTCATGAACTATCATGAGTAAAGCTTAAGGGGATTTTGCCAGTCCTTGCTGATCTTACAGCTGAATCAGTTTGCTTTTAAAAAGTAGGGAATGTGGTTCACCTGTTACACTGTCTCCAGAGATTTGTTCCTCAGGACTCCACAATGTATATGTTTACCCCTTACATCTACTAGTGGAGCTCGGGAGTCCTTACCACACCCAGTTCCCAGTTGCTGGGGTGGCAGACAGAAGATTTATCTTTAGAGTGTTGAGTTTTCTCCGTTCTTGGAGAAGAGGGCAAAGTTGGGATTCTCCTACCTGGATCCCTGGAAGTTTTTCCCAGATGTCGGTAGGAGCAGGACCAACCTACACAGGAGTGTACTCCTAAAACCTGTCCAGATTTGATGCTTAGCTATCCAATGAAGGGTGTTTGGACCCTTTTATGAACACTGTTAGGTCTTGTTGTTTATGCAGGGAGTCCACTATCTCTTAGTAAATCTGAATGTGATGCAGTCCCATCTTTGGTCCTTGGTAGGACAGTATTCCACATCCTCTCCTTAATTCCATGGGTAATTGGAATTCTCCTTGCCCACTTGGTGGAGGAATATAGACAAATTTTGTAAATCCAGATGAGATGAATTCTGGACTTTGGTGGAGTATGGTATATGATCCCATCAATCCAGATCTGGGATGTTGCCTTTTGGACTTCTTTAGGTTGATCAGAAGGATTGTCCATTTTGGTGTTGCTTTCTTGCTTTCATAAATCTGGGGGTTTGAAAATCATCATTCGGTGGTTACTTGTAGGGACCTATCACAAAGATGTATATATCTGTGGCCCAACTGCCCTGGCCACCAATGTGGGATATGGGTATCATGACCCCTTAAATTCAACCTGAGTTGTTTAACCTCAGCTGTTTGGTTGGGGCTGGACCATCATACTTGTATTATATTCCACCCTTTTCAATCTTCTGTAGTTCTGGATGAAGAGCATACCTGTTCTGGATGTAGTAAGGTGTTCCCCACTTTGATACCACTTCTCATGGTACACATTTGTTCTCTGCAGATGCTTTTCTATGTGATCTCTGACCTTACCGGTCACTGGCTTTTAATTGGCAGGGAGAGTATGCATATTTTGGAAGTTATCATATTAATAAACTGAAAATGTATTTCCAAACTGATGAAACAGAATTAAACTTTTCAAACCATCAATCGAAATCTCATACATATTTTTAATAAAATGTAGCCAGATGGTAGGAGACTGTTCTCTACCAAGTGCATGAAACTACAGCAAAGGCTACAGAAACCCCATTTCCCATGGCTAATCCTTGATTCTGAATGTAAACTTGAAAACAATATGATGTAAAACAAAATCTAGGATTTTCACTGGTTACTGGCTGTTTCTCTTCATAAAACATGTTTACATTCTTCTGGACCAGCAATATTACTACTGTAAAAAGAGCTACACGTTATCATTTTCCTAAACTGAAAATGTATTTCTAAACATACTTACCTCCACTGACACTAATAGTTATTTCTCGATCTTCATCTTTGCCATCATTATCACAAGAACAACTGTATCAGATGTAATCTGGGGCTTCTGAAAAATATATGGAAAATGAGGTAGTTTGCAGTATCTCTTGTGGGGTTTGTAAGGAAAAATATATTGGAGGAACTGAGAGACATTGTAAAAGAGTGTTGCATGGAACATGTTTTAACACCTTCTTCTTTAATTCATTTGTAATAATGTATATATATGGTTTTGTCATGATATAAAAGACTGTTTCGTGTAGGTAGTATTAATTTATTTATTTTGTGCGTTAATATTTTATGATTGTTTAATGTTTTTTTCGTAATAAGAGAGTTAAAAGCAGACGATTGTTGGAAGTTGTATCTATAATTCATTGTTGTTGAGACTGTTGAATGTTGCATGCAATACATTGACATCAAGGATATAGAAATTTCTAGAAGGAGGGCAGACGATAAATGATACACTTATGAATAGTGTGAGATGAGTGGAAAACAGCAGACAAACAGACAGAGCAAATGAAAGACCAGCGAATGGGAAGTAGAAATGTGGCCAAAGAAGAGGTTAGAAAATGAAAGTTATCATCGTGGGGGTGGATAGCCTAATGGTTGATACATTAAAATGAGATTAACAGTTAAATGACACTTTAGGAGAATAATTTGTCTTATTAAAGGGTGTTCTAAAGCACCTGCCTGTGTGGACTTTGACAAAAAAACAGATGATTATTGGAGATAGGCCTAAATACGAAAAAGCAAATGGAATCGAAAGTTCAGGATACAACTTCAGTAACTCAACAAGGCAGAGTAAGTGAATTATACATAGAAGACTCATGCGATAGAAATAGAAAAAGGTGGTTTTGCTTGTCAACTGAAATTCTAAAGTAATTGAATAGGTCTAAGTGGACTTTTGACAAGAAGAGAACAATATATAAATAGTGTTTGTCTATGATCTCTATAGTGTAAATAATTTGTCGTACATATGTTTAATTTGTTCTGAATATTATATATATATTATTTTGAAAACAAGTGAAGTACGTGTTGTTCATTTATCATTGAATTTATCACCAACAAGTAACAGACACCTACGGTAGAAGAATCCTAAGCCCAACACAACCATATATATACTTACTAATATATAATATAGAAAACAGTAAGTTCCTGACAGGTTTTATCTACAGGTACTGTTTACATGTACATGTTTGTTAAACTGTAATGTTCATCAGTGATCTTTTGTTTTTGGTTTTAATTGAACATTTTCTTCACATTGATTATATTCTTGTAATATATTTATAACTGTTACTTTTTCATTGTTGATAACATAACTGCATGTCAAATGATACCTGATAATGCATTGTTGTTATTTTGAAATACATCGGCAGTTCTTTAACACTGGCTTAACTGTTCTATACAGTATTTATTTTTTATATAGCCATAATATAAAACGTTGAGGATTTAAATAATTTTCAGTGGGTACTGGATGTTAGTCTTCATAAAACATTACTAGTCCACAGGTGTTTCAATACACCTTACTGTACACTTTCTACTAATTAGGTGTTTCAATACAACATACCATACACTTTCTACTAATTAGGTGTT